ACCATACCTTGTCTTCAGTTCTTCATAGTTTTCCCGCAATTTCTTCCCATACTGCACAAGAGAAAATAAATAGTAATAGTCAACCAATAACCAAATTTCTGTCTTAAAGTACCGTATCAGCAGCATTCTGTTGAGAAGTTGACAGGGAGTTTGCAAGTAGAGAGAATGCAGGTTCCATCCGTATATACAACTTCTTACTGGGACCACCTCAAGCGGAACTTTTAAACTTTAGGAGAATTTAATTGTGTAAAATCATTACAAGCCTTCAGGTGTAATGAAATTGCTCATAACCTGTCTGGGATACTTTTATATGCTTTAAACATACATATTTTTTTTAATAGACAGCTTGCAAGATTATCTGTAATGAGGTACTTGCTGACAATTTATTATTTTCATTGTACTTCTGTTGAAGTTCACAACTATACATTTTTTCCTTTCCATTGTACATACCGGGATTCTTTTTAAAAACATAAAAACTTATGATTTTCTTTGCTATTATTCTGTACTTGCACGTGATACTGTGAGATTTTTTTTTTTTTTTTTATTAGGATAGTGTAATACAAAGTTGGCTTGTTTCTTGTTACATTCCCTCAATGGGGGAATCATTGTGGTTATGTTTTGATTCAAATATAACATATAAAATAACATTCATTCTACACAATTTAGTACAACATTTGAGAACATGTAAGCAAGATACTGTTATAATAATGTCTTGTATGATGAATCCTAGTTTCAAAATCCACAAGAATTCAAAGTAAATAGTGTGTAAGAACCTTCTCGGGAAGGTCCCAATTGAAAGTATTTTGACCTAAACATTCACAATGGTATTTTACCTTAACAATTTTAATAATTTCCTGATAATTGAAATCATGGTTATTTTGATAGTTATATGTTGTAACATAGAATTATTATTAGAATGTAAATATTTGCCTGTCCCAAATATATCGAAGCTTGTTTTTTTAACTAATAAATCTCCAAGTCATTTGTCAAACCTAGATCATCATTTGGTTGAAATACTGTATACAAAAGCCTCGGAAAGATCTTTGATAAATACTGCATCAAGTTGATTTTAGCCCTCATAAGGCTCTTTACCTTATAACTAATTTTTATTAAAACTTCACACTTTAAGCTTCACATTCATGTGCTGATTACTTGGACACTCGTGATAATTACCTTTGCTACCCGTAGAGACACTATCCAACAGTGTTGTTGCTTCCGACTCTCACAACAAAACCATTTTAAGTCATTTGTGGTCTTTACTATACTTCGTTTTGGCTAGAAAAAAAAACAACAACTTTGGTTTAGTATTCTTAAAAGCCATAGTGTTAGGTTTTTTATGTATGGGTCACATTCTTTACAGTAGGTGTCTGCGACTTGTTGACAATAAATAAACAACACACTTGTTTTAATATAATATATTTAAAAAAATTCAAACATACATATATAAATGTTTTTGTTACACTGTTGGTTATCACAGATGTACCCAGAGCTTTAAATAATTGTCTCTCTTAGAACACAATTGACAAGATGAATTATTCTTCTCTATTCTGTTATTACAATACAATCTGTGATAATTTCACTTTAAAAATCACCACTATATACTCTTTACAGCTAAACTCACAATCATGTAGTCTAGATCTATCTATATATCCAACTCTTACTAACTAGCTAACTGAAAATACATTTTGGATGCGTGTTTACAGAATGACTGAGGCCTAGAACGTTTCATACACTATGAGATATTATGATACAATAATACTCAATTAAAACAAGGAGAAAAGTTAGAAGGTTCTAGTAACATGATGCAATAATACAACAAGCACCAATCCACAATTTACATAATAAACTATCACTTGTAAAAAATAACTAAATATAACAGTTGCACTGTACTTAAACTATCTAAATCATAACAATCGCATTGAACTTAAACAGTCATGTATATCTAACACATAGCAAGAAAGAGATACAAAGAAACATCTTCAAACACTAACCAAGGAAAGTTTTTATTTACCATATTTATCTTCAAATTTCTTATTGAAATTAACCCATGGACTGTTGACTTTCTGTATAAGATATAGTCTGCCTCCGGCAAGTGTGCCGTATATGGTGTATGGCTTGCAAAAATTCTGCATGCATTTAAAGCAGCCACTGTCAGTGGGTTAATTATTTTATTCCACAGTTTACTTTTTTTTTCAACTTTAAGATAATATAATTTTTAAGTCATAAAATATCAAAGTACTTACCTTTATAGAGAAACAAAATTCAGTTGGAGCTCCAATGCAGTTCCCTTCTATAGGGAAGTAGATATCACAGCTCCGAAGATCTACGAATGGATGCATCTGATGTGGCGCCTGGAAATTTTCACAATGAATCTAATAATATAAAAGTAAACTTAAAATCCAGCACAAAGAAGCAGAAAGTACACTCTCTCATAATTGGTAGTTTTACTATAATAATTAGATTCTAGCAATTAGCTCTTTAGTTAAATGATGCAAAAACGTTTTCAAAAATTACAACTTGACTATCCTTATATACAAAGCTGTCAATGCCCCTGTATCACTGCAGGTACAGGAGTACAAGTCACCAGGACTTAGTGGACACTTTGATCATCGTTTTAATTAAAGAGGTCAACATTCAAAGACGAATGCAACATGTCCCCGCCATGCTATCCCAACATGGCCAATTCTGATCCCATAACAGTTTAAAACTGTATACCACTGATTCAGACCCGTAAGGTCCCATACATCTTTGTACCATGTAAATTGGTTGAAATACAGCTAAGTAATTGACCAAAACCTCTAAAATTATGGGTTTATTTAACAAAATTGGGCATATCCCACATTTTTGTATGTATATGTACGAGACCCATAAAAACGTAAATTTGTACCAAATCCCATGTAACTTGGTCAAAATATAGCCAAGTAATTGATTAAAGAAAAACAAAAATATGCTTTTTACAAGGTCTGATTTTTTTATGTCAACATGTATGAAAATTTATATTTGTGCCACTTTATCTTGATTCTGATAAATATGACTGCACAGGAACCTTTTGTGTTGTTTGACATTTGACTGGAAAGTGTTTAGAAGAAGAAGAATACAGAATAAAAGAATAAGAAACAATAGAAAAAAACAGCACGTCTCTCTATGGAGACATAATAATTGTACTGAATCAGTACAATTAAGTAATTTTTTCCAGTTTCAAAGAACATCTTACTAAATTATTAATATTAAATCTGGTTTGGTGGAAGATTTCCATACACGTACCTTCTCCTCAGCATACAAAGAAATATTTAGGACATTTTCTTTAACCTGGAAGAAGAACTTTTTCCACAAGTGTTGACTGGGATCTTTTATCCACAGATAACCTTGAACTACAGGAACTGCATCACCGGTATGAATCATGTTCTACAATAACAAGAACACGTAAACATGAAATACTGCCACCTCATTCTATCACCTCAAAACATTGTAATGGTATCTATGAACCTTGTTAACCCACTGTGCAAGGGTGGGGGGTCAGAGTGAACATTCCACAACCTTATACAGAGTGCCATTCAACATGTTATAATAAAAGTTAAGACGGCTTGAATGGGTAATGAAGAAAACTATAATATTATAAAATTTCTCATCATTACCTATTCAAGCTGACTCCAAACTTTTATTATCTACAAACTGGGTTCCTTGTCATTGAACACGGTATAATGTTCGACGTCAGAGTTATAGATTGTTCATTTGACCCTAAATTGCCGATTTAACAGTTCTCGGTAGACGAGAGTAAATACCAGTACAATACAGAGGGATATTGAAAAATGTAAATATGTTTTCAAAGGTTATGCAAATGTAAACTTTATAATGGACAAAAGTATTTATATTATTTACATAAACATCACCTTGTATTCTGACTATCAGTCCAAGTTAGCCTTATGTGACAGATGGGCTAAATGGTCTTGTCAGAGGCCGCCGAGATTCAGGCATAGTTAATAGCCATATAATCCTAACTTACAACTGTTGACTAGAGAGGAAGGTAACCAATCGGCAACACCCACTAGTCTCCAGAAAAATGTTGAAAATTAGAAGCTCTCTGTGTATTCTCTTGTCTTTTATTGGATTAATGCTAATCTCTTGAACAACCCCTGGCAACATTGGATAGTCTGAAACGTACCATTTAGCAGAAAATTCTCACCCTCATACTTTTAATCAAGTAGCAAGATTGACTGTCACAGTTATAGCATCCCCACAGTATAAAGTGGGCTAGGTGGCATAATACAGCCGGAACCTTCCAATCCAAACCCCAACACATGTTAAAACATTAGTTTTGTTTCCAGAATATCTATGAACAGCTAGCTCACAACCAGTTCATGTTATTGATATTCCAGTAATTTGTTTATACCTAATAAGTTATATCTAATCTTATCTCCAACTTAACATGTTTCTAAAAATATCTACTCACAATATTGCTGTCAGGTTGAATGTTTCTAGACAATCACACCAAATCTACAAGCTAACCCAATAAACTTTGTTACTTTCAACATTTATTAAAATAGTTCTAGATAAGTTGATTTATTATATTTAACCAGAAGTTTCGTACCTGAATTGTTACAACTTTCGCAAGGTCCGTTGAATCCGACAGACATTTAAAGTCAGTTCCAAGATCCACCATATCGAGAAGATAAAATTGCTGAAGAGGAACAAATTTCAAGTTTTGTTTTTGTTTTCCAATCATAAAGTAATTATTAAAATCAATCAAATCAATTGTTAATTCAGCATTTTTACTCAAGTCATTTCATTACTTTGAATACTTCAGGTAAATTACAGTAAAAAAAAAAAAAAAAAATTACTGATCTTCCAAATTGAAACAGAAGATGGAGTGTAATGAAAGAAAAATGCTAGAAC